CTATGATTTTGTCTGGCTTATGAGCTCGTTGCTGTCCTAATTTAGGGTCTTCTTTTTAATAAATTTTTGAAAATGTTAAAAGAGAGAGAGAGAAAAAGGGAGCCCGGCGAGGATGTTTGCCCTGGGGCCCGTGCTGGCACTCGGCGTTCCTGGGCGTGGCCTAGACCTTTCAGTTAACGTTTGTCTTGTGCAAATATTTATATGTAATTTCATTTAGTCAAATAGGCCTAATCACCTAATTTCCAATACAAGTATATCTGTATTAAGAAAAATGTTTTCTAACGTGTTTCGTAAACTAATTCCAGGTGTAACTGAATACTTGTCCACAGTCACAGAAACTACGCTTTCATCTGAAGTTTTCACGTCTGTATGCGAGATCGTAACTCCTGTGACCTCCCCTGTGTGTGTTACCAATACCGCTACTTCTTCGAGAGGACATCTTCATCAAGAGCGTCATGTGTTAGTGGATTTAAAAGAATCTTAAAAGGAAGCTATAAATTTTTAAAAATAAAAATCAGGCAATGGTACAAATTATTCACGATATATAGATGCAACTCTTATATTTAATTCGTAACTATAATTAAAATAGACTAAAAGGTACACTTTGAAAATTAAGATAAATATATTATTCAATAATTAAAAAGCAAACAACTCAATAGCTAAGATATAATATCACAAAGTCGCAAAGACAAATTTAACTTGTTGTTTATTAGACATTCTATATTTTGTGCTGTCAAATATCATTGCTTTGTGGCAATGTAGAATATTATAGCGGTATGAATGTTTCAGTTTCAGCAATGAAATGTTTTCTTATTATGTTTAGGAATATAGCTTTTCTTTATATGCAGAAGCCTTTCGCCTACTCGGAGGAGGAAACAACGTCGTTACAGAACTACTTTCACCAGTTACCAACTGCAAGAACTAGAAAAAGCATTTCATAAGACACACTACCCAGATGTATTTTGTCGCGAGGAGTTGGCCATGAAAATAGATCTTACCGAAGCACGAGTGCAAGTACGTGATTCAAAAACAATTACCCCCCCCCCTCCTTCTTTTTACTGTTCAGTCATTAATAATATCTAATATGGAATTATATGAAAAAATTACAGATAATTTTCATTCACAGCTTTAATATATGATTTGGTTAGATTATTTCAGTATTTTGTAAGACTTTTCAATCAATAAGTTATGAGCTTCTTGGCAACTAACTCTCAATAAAAACGTTTCCATAATCTAGAAATATTATTGTATAGCTAACTCTAAAGGTTATTTGAATAAATTAAATATTTGAAAGGTAGTTACTTTAGTAACTAAATGTATTATTAGGGTGAACGCTTTTATAAAATATAAGATTAGATGAAGAGTAATGTTATTGTTAAACAATATACTAACATTATCATAAAACAAGAATAAATATTAACAAAACTTAATCACAATGTCCATTGAGCTATTCTACTTAGAAAACTGATTTTTTAAAATTTTATAAATGTCTATTGTTCTGAACAATCTGCACTTGAACTTAATTCAAAGGTGGAAAACAAAAATAAAAGGAAACAACAATCACTGATTAATTATATGTATTGTAAAAAACCGAATTTTCAGATTTCAGTTCAACAAAGCAAGTTAAGAAACAATTTGCATGGCCAGGTGGTTAAGGCACTCGACTCGCAATCTGGGGGTCGCGGGTTCGAATCCCCGTCACACCAAACATGCTCGCCCTTTCAGCTGTGGGGGTATTATAATGTGACGGTCTATCCTACTATTCGTTCGTAAAAGAATAGCCCGAGAGTTGGCTGTGAGTGGTGATGACTAGCTGCCTTCCCTCTAGTCTTCCACTGCTAAATTAGGGACGCAGATAGCCCTCGTGTAGCTTTGCGCGAAATTCATAAAAAACCGATATTAGGGTTTTCTGGGAGTAAGACAGCAAATTTAAAATAGCAGTACATGTAGATGTACTGTTAATTAGGAATGTGGCTTATAGTAAAAAAAGTAAGACTTAGCAAATACTGTGTTTCTCTTGAAAGAATATCAATGTGTTAAAGAGTTGGCCTTTTAGTTTCAAATGTATATACAAATGATACATAAGTAATGGTAGACGAAAGTTGATTTTACTTATAATGAAATATTTTTATACGTAGAGTAGGTTTAAGACAGTTTTAAGATATTCTTTGTAATGGAAACAGTTTATGATTCTCTTAAGCTGATTTCAATTAAACGTTAATAAACACATTAGTAACTCCTAAACTTTAGGCCAATAGGGATATGACTGTTCTTTCTCAAGCTTAGATTTCCAACATGCGTATCTATTACTATTCATAGCATCTTTTTTTCTTTTCTGTTTTTGCTTTCTCTAATTTGGAGGGAGAAATTCCATAAAAAACACCATCACAGGAATAATGATAACAACTGAGCTTTAAACTTAGTAAACATATCATCAATACATTATTTACGCATTAACACAATCACATTCACCGTATGTAGAAGTAGTTAAATGTCAAGATTACATTTGTTCATTTAAAAAGCACGGAAATAGAAAATCACAACGCTTCATAAGTCATACCACAATGAAGAGTTTGACTTTTCTAGGATTATTGTAAGGTCACTATATATTTATCTGAGGTACAGTACAATGGCAACAAAATAGCAAAACATTTTTTGACACATCACTGAAAAAACCTTCTCAAACAATGCACACAGTGCAAAGAAATCTGTGCTATTGAGACTGTCGTTAATAGGAAGAGATATTCATACTTACCTTCTGAGAGAATAACTAAGCGAAGTTAATGTTTCAATTATAAAATTGTTCGTTTCTTTCATAAATCATTCGTTTAAAAAAGTTCTCTATACCATTTAATTACGATTACCTGTTTGAAGCCCACATTGGCACAGCGGTAACTCTGAAGGCTTATAACGCTAAAAACTGGGTTTCGATACCAGTGGTAGGCACAGAACATATAGTCCATTGTGAAGTTTCGTTTTTAACTACAAGCAAAGACTGTATGAACTATCTTTAAATAACTAAATTTCACATATCCATTTCATTGTCATTTCGGTTTTTAACAAAAATATATAAACAGAAATTGACAAGCTATTTTTGTTTTTAAACTGTTTTCGTAGATTAAATTAATATAAAGATAATTTAGATTATTTTTCATACGCTTGCTGATACTCTGAGTTCTAAATATTTTTATTTCAGTATGCTTACTTAATCAAGGTACTGAGTGGTTACGTTTTGTTTTTCTGCCTCTTTATTTCATTGTTTTGAATTTCAATTAATTCGAAGCACATTTTCACCATTTTAAGGATGAAAGACAACATATATTATTTGTTTCATATATTTGTGTATCATCTCAGTGGGTCAGCGGTAAGTTTACGACTTTATAACGCTCTAATCCGGAGTACGATCCCCATGGTGGACAGAGTGTAGATAGCCTATTGTGTAGCTTTACACAAACAAAAAATGTGCATTTTTAAATAAACTTTTCTCTCAGAACTCGCTATAAATATATTAACCTCATAAGGCTCATGACAAGTGCAGCGTCCTAGGACTCTTGGGATAGTTTTGTACTCGGGATGAAATAACCACACATTACCATTCTGAAATGTCCACAACAAAATCCAAAGATATGAATACTATACATTTTTCTCCGTTTAGAATAACAAATGTTTACAAGAACTCCAAAGGATCCTTTTTCTAACCAAATAAACATATTGGTACAAGTAAAGTTTTGTAAATTTAAAGTGATGTAGAGATGGCAGTGCTAAAGAGGGTGCAAGCAAGAATATATGGATGATACAACTATACATAGATCATCCCTGCATGACTTTCAATACTGATATTTAATGTTACACGGTAAAATGCACGAATATAAAATAGTTACGAGATCTGTCAATTCGACCGACCTTCTAGCGAACGTCTGTAATAATCCAGACATGTTTGACTCAACTTGGTTTTCCTTGTACGTAAGTCCTAGGCTCTTAAGTTACACTAAATGGATGCCTACCCTGAAATGACCATGATATTATGATAAACAAACTGTGTCAGGAACTACTTTTTAGTATATATATATATATATATAGTAATGTATGTATAAGGGTGTGTTGAGCTAAGGGTTCTTTGACAGTAGGTGTCTGTGAATTGTTGGCAATAAATTCAACAATAAACGAACACTACGCACTCCACTTGTTTTTAAAATAATATATATATTCGGAACAAGTTAAACGTATCTACAAAGATTCTTTGCACTAGGGCAATCATAGTTATATCTTAAACACTATACAGTGTTCTTCTTCTTGTCCAAAGTCCACTTAAGCCTATTCAGTTGCTTTAGAATTCAGTTGATGAGCAGAACAATTTTTCTTTATTTTTATCGCATTAGTATCTGTGTCGCGTGAATTACTGCAGTTGTATCCAGAGCTTCCAATAATCATCTGATCTTCGTACTTCCAATAATCGTCTGCTTTTTCATCAAAGTCCATACAGGAGGGTTCAATTAGCTTATAACACCCTTTGACAAGACAAATTATTCTCCTTATCTCTTTCAAACTGTTAATGTCACTCTAATATATCAATTGTTAGGCCATTCACTTCGACGAGAGTTAACTTTATAATTTGTAACTTTTTTCTGACTGAACTTTTCTTTCAAGTGACTTTACTTTTGCTCTGTTTCTACTCGTCTGGTTGCAGCTATTTATATGTCTATCACTTAGGCATTCTAGAAGTCTCCATAGCCTCGACATCAATGGATTGCAAACACAATGTTCAATATCCTCAACATCAGTGAATTACAAACACAAAATAAATAGATTAATAATACTACCTACACTAAACAGTCTTTTATACCTGACAATAAGCCCCCTCTTCAAGAGAAATATTTACAATATATTTTTCACTATATGCAAAGACTGTTCATTCACAAAGTCTACTCATACAATCTGTACTAACATTTGCAGTTCCTTTGATGGCTTCAATATGGATCCTATAGTTCTGAAGGTACAACACCCATCTCATGATCTTCGCACTGTCGATTTTTCTCCTCTGAATGTATGCAATTAATTGATGGACTGTCCAGATGATAAACTCCTTCTTGTATAGATGGATCTGGAACTTCCAAATGGCAAATATGATGGTCAGACACTCTCATTCAATCATGGAGTAGTTCTTCTCACTAGTTAACATATTTTTACTTATATATATTTCCAGAAACAGACCTTCTTCATGTTCATGTAAGAGTATTGCCCAAATTCCAATGTTTAAAGCATCATCTTGAAAATGAATGGTTTATTGAAGTCTGACATTCAAAGAATTGGCAAACTTCCCAACATGTTCTTTAATTTCTGGAATGTCATCTGATGTAGTTGTTCCCACTTCACCTTCTTGGGCATGCCTTTTTTAATCAAATCAGTTAATGGTGCAGTAACTTCAGCATAGTTTGGGACGAATTTCCTGTAGAATCCCACTAACCCAAGGAAGGATCTGAATTGCTGGTTGGTCGTCAGAGCTGGTGTATCTTGTATGTGGATTACCTTCTCCTTTTCCATGGCCATCTGTTGGTCCTCCATCTTGTGTCAAATAAACTCCAGTACAGAATATTTAATGTAGCACTTGGTCTGATGGTAAGACCTGCAGCCCTCACTTGCCAAAAAAGCTCTCTAGGTTTCTTCAGGTGGTCTTCCCATCTGGCAGTGTGTATCAGAATGTCATCCACATAGTGCTCGAGGTTGGTGATGTTGTGCAACATCCTCTTTATCATGCAATTGAATGCCACTGCTGAATTGACTAATCCAAATGGCATCCACTTAAATTGGTAACATCTATCTGGTGTCACAAATGCTGTCTTATCTTCAGATCCCATCCCCATCTGGATCTGCCAATAACCTTTACTGAGGTCAATATTTGAAAAAAAACCTGGCTCCATCTAGTTTTGCCATGATAGCCTGTGGTTTGCCCATAGGTTCGGTGTCGAACTTCGTCACGAGATTCAGCTTCCGGAAGTCTATGCAGAAGTGTTTTG